CTCTCATTAGGAGGGTAGCCTGGCTCCTGCAGCCCTGCATCAGGGGGGTCTGAACCTGGTGCCTGGGATGTCCCTTTCCACATCCTGGGTGCAGAATTTTGTTATAATTGGGAATTGAAAGTGTCCTGTGGGACACGGCACACTTGTGCTGGCAATATGGTTTAAGGTATTTTAGTTCTTTATCAAGGAGTAGAGCCCTAGGAGGAGGGGGAAGGGTTTGACCCTGAAAGAGGGGAGATGGTGGTGAGAGCCTGACCCAGGCTGCCCAGAGAAGCTGTGGCTGCCCCATCCCTGGAGGGGTTCAAGGCCAGGTTGGAGGGGGCTTGGAGGGACCTGGTGTGGTGGGAGGTGTCCCTGCCCAGGGCAGGGGGTGGAATGAGATGACCTTTAAGGTCCCTTCCAACCCAAACCAGTCTGTGTTCTTACAGCAGCCAGAGGGTGATTTGTGAACTTGCCCCCTTGCCTCCCCCAGCCTCCCAGTAGCCCCATTCCAGGCTGCTCCTGGCAAGGCCTGGGGCCAGTTTGCTCCATGGCCCTGCCAAAGGTGGCTCTTTCACAAGAGGGGCCTTGGGGGGGACACGTGCTCTGGCACCTGGGACACCTCGGGGAGACGCCTCTGCCTGGGGCTGCTGCTGAGGACACAGTGTTGTTGAAGCATGGCCTTGCTCCCGTGGGTCCTGCCGGAGCTGCTGGTTTGCAAATGTGTTGGAAATTTTAAAATACTAGAAATGACACATCTCGTTTTGCTGCCACTGCTTATATTTTGGGAGAAAACAAGTATTAATACCAAGTATTAATAGCAAGAAGGGAGGTTGAACTTCGTTACCTGCAGCAGCCTTCCTCAGAGAAGCAGCTACTGAACTTTCACAAGTTTGCTTAGATTTTAGCATTGCTTTAAATTTTTTGCCTATTAATAATAATAATAATTATTTTATAGTTATATTTTTATTTATATTAATATTGCCTATTGCTGTGACTGCACTGACCAGGCGGTTGCAGGGCTCCCCGTTGCCCTTTCTTGTGCTGATTTACAGTTTCAGATTTCCTCTTTAAATTTGCATTATACTTTATTTTTTTTTTTTTTTTGCTTAAGTTCCATTTTGCCTTTTACCTTGAAGTAGAAATAAATCCCATAAGTTTAGAATTCCCTATCACTTTTTTGTGTATATCAGGAAAACTTCTTAACATTTTGGAAAGTCAAGAGCGTGTGATGGGAGTTTAATTTTCTTGTAAACTAGAGATTACTCTTTCCTTGAAAAGAAAATACTCTGTTCTACTCGCTTCTTTCCCGTTTCCTTCCTGCAAGTCCCTGCCCCTTCTCCTCCTTCATTTGGGATGTGACTGTGGAGCAGATGGTGCCCTGCTGGAAGGTGCCTGCCCCATCCCTGGAGGGGTTCAAGGCCAGGTTGGAGGGGGCTTGGAGCAACCTGGTTGCTCCACAGTGGTGGGAGGTGTCCCTGCCCAGGGCAGGGATGGGCTTTAAGGTCCCTTCCAACCCAAACCATTCCATGACCCTGTGTGTGCTCAGTAGTTACTTCTGTAGGGACTTGCCTGGATGAGATTTGAGAATCAAAATCACGTGTTTTCTTGTAGTTTTCACATATCCACTCATTTCGCCAACAGTTTTAAATTGTAGGGTTTTTTTCTGTTGTAATTGAATCAGACAGTGGCACAACTCCCAGGTGAATGTATCTCTGTGGGTCCTCCACGGCCAGTGTCCCCTCCTGGGACTGTCCCCTGGCTCCCAAGCTCTGCCCCATGTTGCTTGGAGCAACCTGGTGTGGTGGGAGGTGTCCCTGCCCAGGGCAGGGGGTGGCACTGGGGGGGCTTTAAGGTCCCTTCCAACCCAAACCATCGTGTGATTGCGTACTCTGTCTCGGGTGGGCACAAGCCCTGCCTGTCCTTGACACTTTGCCACAATTTCATCTGCCCCAGGGACAGCTCAGCGACTCGAGTCTGTATGTCCAGGCAGGACTGAAGTGCCTTCTTTAAAGGACTTCGGGGTACTCTGCCTTGGGCTTGGGTGGAGAAGGCAAATGAGCTCATTTCATCCTTAAGTTTGAAAAGTAATCTGAAGATTTTTGGTTTTGAACTAGCGGGTGGAGGGCTGATGTGAGTTGGAGGAGGTCACGGTGGGGAAATAAGTATAGTGTCTTAGTCTATTAGAAGAAGAATTGTAATTGAATTCAGCAACATTTATGTGTAAATAAGTTTTATTTAGCTTCAGCCTTGGAGGAGGATCTTGGCTGGTTCAGTAGTGGCAACCTGCTGGGACAGGGTGGGTGTTACTGCTGCCCCTCACCCAACACCTGGCTGTGTGTGTTGGAGACACTGATTCACTCCGTCGGTGAGGATCACAGAATCCCAGAATCTTCTAGGTTGGAAGGGACCTTAAAGATCATCTTGTCCAACCGTCAACCTGACTGACAAAAATAGACACCCACACAACAAACAAGGAGCATCATCACTAAACCAGACCTCCCAGCACTACATCAACCCGGCTTTTGAACACCTCCAGGGATGGGGCCTCACCCCCCTCCCTGGGCAGCCCATTCCAATGGCTGAGAACCCTTTCCGTGAAAAATTTTTTCCTAATATCCAGCCTGAACCTCCCCTGGTGCAACTTGAGGCCATTTCCTCTTGTCCTGTCGCCTGTGACTTGAGAGAAGAGACCGACCCCCCCCTCTCTACACCCTCCTTTCAGGGAGTTGGAGAGAGCAAGAAGGTCTCCCCTCAGCCTCCTCTTCTCCAGGCTGAACACCCCCAGCTCCCTCAGCCTCTCCTCATAAGCCTTATGCTCCAGCCCCCTCACCAGCTTTGTTGCCCTTCTCTGGACCCGCCCCAGCACCTCAATGTCTTTTTTATGGTAGGGGGCCCAAAACTGGACACAGCACTCGAGGTGAGGCCTCACCAGTGCCCAGTACAGGGGGACAATCACCTCTCGGTGTGTGGTACAGCCCATGTGCAGGTGGAGGCATCGCAGCTTCAGTTCAGCTGGGAAATGCCCAGCTCTTCCTGGGGGCTGAGCCCAGGAGCTGGGGGGTGTTTCTGCCAGAGACCCCCCCAGCTCTGCCCAGTCTGAGCTGTGGCTGCCGCTGCTGGTTCTGCCCCAGGCGGTGCTCAGCGCCCAGCCTGTCCTCCAGCCACTGCTGATATGAGGAGTTTTCCAAAGGGATTGCACTTATTTATTTATTTTTCCCTTAAACACGAGAGGGAATGGCTTCAAGCTCCAACAGGGGAGGTTTAGATTGAGCATTAGGAAAGAATTTTTCACCAAAAGAGTGACAGGGCATTGGAACAGGCTGCCCAGGGAGGGGGGGGAGTCCCCATCCCTGGCTGTGTTTAAGGGCCGTTTAGATGCAGTGCTGAGGGACATGGGGTAGGGGAGGACTTTGTAGAGGAGGGGAGATGGTTGGACTCGATGATCCCAAGGGTCTCTTCCAACCTAGACCATTCTATGATTTTTACTCTCTCCTGCTCTGAGCGCAGAAGCAGGGTTACTTGTAGTCACCAACAGCTTCCAGTGTTGGTGAAATAGCTGAATTTAATTGCTCTCTTATCTGTGGTGGGTTTTTTTGTTTTGGGTTTGGTTGTGTTGGTTTGTTTTTGGTTTTTTTTTTTTAGGATTTGAAAGGAATTCTGCTTATCAGGTGTGAGGAAAAATTAATGTTGCTTTTTTATAATACCTGTTTTCTGTGTAATCTGTCCAGTTACCCCAATCTGAACCTCAGGCTTAATCTCCTGCGTACAGACATCCTTCGCCATACGTCTCTGAGTAAGCAGATCTTCCTTAAGATAAAAAGCAAAGGGTGAGCAGGACTTTGCTGGGTTTCTGTGTCAAACCGGAGCGTGCTGTGAGCTGGGGCCCTGCAGTCACTGCCCCTCGCTCCGTCTTCACCCCCAGCCTGCTCCTCTCTCCTGCTGCAGCCTTCCATCTGCACATCTGCTGGGGACTATAGAGTTATCAACACTCCTAATATATAGGAGACATCGACTAATCTGATGATTCTTGTTTGTTTTGTGGTAATTTCAAACAGATGCAAGCACTTGTTAATCTTCCAGTTCCTTTAGTTTTATTCCAGCTTCAGCAGGCAAAGCTCGTTTGTTTTCTTAATTTGCTCTGAATGCGCTGTTGTTTCCTGTCTGAGCTGCACACATCTCACTCACCAGAAGATTTCATTTAAAGATTGTACGTTTGACATCTAAGGGCTGGCAATTCCCCTTGCCATGTGTCAGTGCCTCGTGGCAGGTGTTTCCTTGGCGAAGCAGGTATTTTCGAAACACATCTGCTAAATGGGGCACGTCGCTCTGGCTGCCGTCCTCTGAACTTCACACCCAGCTTCCTTGGGTTCCTTGGAGCCAGGGCTGACTCTGTGTCTGCATCTCAGGGAGTCCACAACCTCTTTCCCTCCCTCGGGCAGACCGATCCGTGCCGGGTAGGTGTGCTGGCCCAGAACTGCTCACTCCCATCAGCGGTCACCAATAACCCCGGTGCCGTGGGGAGGCCTCAGCAGCCCTTCAGTAAGTGAGAAGTGAGAGCTCTTGGCACCTCTTGGGCTGTTCTGTCCCTGCCAGTGCCAGAACCTCGCTGTTTGAGGGCAAAAATTAGTGTTGGGAGCATTTCATCCCCCCCAGCTGAGGTAGAAATCATGGTAATATCCTGATCCGAACAGGTTTTATTCCCATTAATATTTTTTGAGGAGTAGCTCTGGCGCGGAGAGGCTGGAGAGTGGCAGAGTGTGTGTGTGTTTGTGTGTGTGGGGCTCCCCGAGTGCTTGAGGATGGGAGAGGATTGCTGAGAGTGGGTCCTTATCTCAGTCCCTGTGGGGCTTTCACCCCTGGAGTCTGTAAATATTTTGATGATGAAGCATGTATCGGTTTGTGTTTAATGATTGATTCATGTTTAGAAGGGAGACGCTTATGGTTTATGTTTGCATTTTATACTTATTTTAATCATGCTTTGTTTTGTTTTGTTTTGTGTTTTTTTTTTTTAATTGCAGCAGCTGTTGCCGGGTAAAAAGTTTTGGGAATCTGATGATTCCAGCAAAGATGGACCAAAAGGGATATTTCTGGGAGATCAGTGGAGAGACAGTGCTTGGGGAACATCAGGTAGCTCAATTATTTACTTAATTTAGTTGGGGTTGAATACAGAAATGTGCAACTCACTGCTCAGAATTGCTGCCCAGCCTGGATGACACAGCTTTTAAAGGATTTTTTTGCAAAAACATCTGTTTTGGATAATAGAAAACTAATAGAAAACCCCACGTTGCTTTGTGATAGAGCTAAAAGATACCCACAGTGATAAAAAGATTGTCTCATGTGAATGTGTGTGCCCTTCTCTTTATGTGCTTAAAAATTTTTAGATTGCCATTGAAATTTCAATTTAAACTTCCTGATGTATTTTCTGCCTCAAATATGTGCTTAAAAATTTTTAGATTGCCATTAAAATTTCAATTTAACCTTCCTGATGTATTTTCTGCCTCGGGATGGGTTACTTTTAAGTTTGAACAAAGATATTAGAGAACAAGATCAGTAAAAAAATCCCAAACAACCCCACTTTTTTTTAAATACTAAACGAACCAACCAAAGCGCAACTACATTCATCTTAAAAAAGAAAAAAAAAAGTGATATTTTGGATTAGTCATGTTGTTTATCTGCTGGGAATTGTGTTCTTGGATCAGAGACTGTCCCTTATTTTGAATTCAAGGGGAGAGTGTTCAGGTTGTATTTAGTGAAACGGCAGAAAATCACATGCATGTGTTGAATTTGAAATGCTAACCTGTTACTTTTTATTTTCTGTGCTTTCTATCTATAATGAATATATTCCTTAAATGCTGCTGAGTGGCTGGGGCAGTTCCCAAACAACTGCCCGGAGCTCCCAGGGGGGTGGGATTTAGAGGAACCTCACTCTTGCGAGGTGTTTTTTCCCTGCTGAAAGTACCCATTATGACAGTGAAGGTACTGGGATAGTGATAAGGGTGTTTTTTTTACTACTTAAATTTCAAAACAGCTGTGAATAGGGGATAAAACTTCTCCCAGTGTGATGGGTTGAAGCTTGCAGCCTGGCTGGGGGCTGGGGAGGTTCTGGGGAGCTGCTGCCTGACGTGGGTCTTGGGCTCAGCATCCAGCCCTCAGCAGCAGTTTGGGTTTTTTTTGAAAACAAATTGAATTTGAGGATGGATTTAAGGACTGAGCTGGACTCTGAACAGCACCAGCTGAGAAGGAGACCTCCTTCTCTGCCCCTGTGGTTGGGCTGGTGACATCCAGCAGACAGGCAGGGGAGACCTGGGGGAGGTCACCTCCCACACTGGCTGATGGCAGATCTCCATGAGTCAAAGCCCTTGGTCTCATCTCTTCCTCTGTTTATTCTCAGTGAATCCTCTGCACCTTCACGGCCTGGATTGCTCAGCCCCAGCCTGGAGTGGGGTCTGTGAGTCAGGGCAGGCAGAGGTTCCCCTTCTGCTCAGCTGAATTTAAGAGCCACGGGCTGAGCAGTTGTTGAAGGTGCCCCAGAGCAAGGAGCAGGGGTGGGGACGTGTCCTTGGCCATAAGACTGCTTTGTTCCATGGACAGTGGAACTAATGAATCCTGGTTTTCTCTAAGATGCCCTTTGCTCCATCCATTTGCCTTTCTGTGCCTGTAACTCACACTCCAGCCCCCCCGTGCAGCTTTGCCTCCTCACTGCTCTCCTTGAACTGTGGTTTTTAAAGCCTTTAAAGCCAGTCCGACCAGAAGCAGCCTTGTCTGATGGAGGCCATTGCTTCCTCCCCTCCTGGTGGTGCACGTGGTTCAGCTACAGTGTGAAACCAGCTGTGGGCAATTGATCTGCCTTAACAAAGAAAAGCTAAAAGCTAGTTTTAACTTTCTCCTGGAAAAGCTTCACTTTGTGGCCACGGAGGGGCTTGTGCCAGCCTGAGGGAGAGGGCAGGGAGGTGTAGCCCAGAGTTAGTTCTCTCAGCAGCTCCCATCTGCTTTGTGAGGGAGCTACGGTATCAATATCATGGCATGTCCCTTCCCCTGTCCCCTGGGAACTACTGGATCTGCTGCCTATTATTTTTGACTCTCCAGCCTGAGCAGCCAGGACCAGAGAAGGTCTCCCCTTCCCTCCCTGCCCCAGGGAAGTAGGGCCTGTGCAGGGGCACTGTCTCCTGCCCAGCCAGAAGGTTTTGCAGAACTTGTAAGGACCCAGAGACATCAACCCTTGGTCTGTTCTGGTTGGGTCTCAGACCCTCCTGCTGCAGGGCTGTCAAGGGATGGGGCTGATGCAGGAGGCCAGAGGATGAGAAAGAAATAATGAAGTTCTCATAAACCTTTTCTTGAGGAAATAATGAAGCAAAGCTCTGATCATGCATGGCAGTGATTATCATGATCATCTGATCTCCCCCAGAGAAGCTGTGGCTGCCCCATCCCTGGAGGGGTTCAAGGCCAGGTTGGAGCAACCTGGGCTGGTGGGAGGTGTCCCTGCCCAGGGCAGGGGGTTGGAATGAGATGACCTTTAAGGTCCCTTTCAGCCCAAACCAGTCTGTGATTCTATGGCCTTCCAGCCCAAACCAGTCTGTGATTCTATGAATACAGCAGTTCATATGACCAAGAAAACAAAAGTAGGCTGGTGTAATAGTAGGATGATGTTTTAATTGACAATCCAAGGCTGATTAGTATTTTTGCTGTACTAACGCAAGAGTTTTAATAAAACTAAAATGTAGTACTTTGTTTTTTTTAATTGCAACCTTTACTTAGATACTTAAATTTCTGAAATTTTATGACTTAAATGTAGCTATTGCTTGTAGGCTTATAGGTTCTAGCATTTAAACCTGAGAAAGCCATCCTGCTTTTTCTGACAGACTTCATCAGAGTCTAAAAGCTGATGCTTCTTAGTACAATTAAGACCCTAGAGAGTGTGTATTTAACAACTTGCCTCCTTTGAATAGTTGGATCGACTTATAAGAATCACCCGTGTTTTTGTTCCAGATCACTCTGTTTCCCAACCGATTATGGTTCAGAGAAGACCTGGGCAGGGCTTTCATGTGAATAGTGAAGTCAACTCTGTGCTTTCGCCGCGGTCGGAGAGCGGCGGCCTGGGCGTTAGCATGGTGGAGTATGTGCTGAGCTCCTCCCCCGGGGACTCCTGCCTGAGGAAAGGAGGATTTGTAAGTCTGTGATTCTCACACTTGAGTTCTCATTATGTTGTTTTGCTGCTTGGTTGGTTGGTTTGTTTGTTAAATCCATTCCTAAAGGTGGATCTTTCTTCTTGCTTTTATTTGCTCTTAGTTTAGCTTTACTAAAAGGGGCTGGCTGCTGTTTAACTGCTGTTCTTGGCTTAGGGGGTGCAGGATGGGAGGGAGATGGGGGTGCAGGGTGGGAGGGAGATGGGGGTGCAGGATGTGAAGGTCGCTGACATCCCCTGGATGAGCACACTGACAGAAATCCCCCCCCCTTTGAAGCTTGTCCTTGCAAAAGGGTGCACATATTCCTGTAGGTTTTGGATGAGTATGTGGCTGCTTCGGTGCTGGCGAAGAACAAAAAGCTCCACGTAGTGAGGGTGGAAACATAACATGGCTCCACAACCCAGTGCAGCTGGGGACACTGGCAGGGGCATCTGGCTTCCCATGGAGCAGTGGCATTGCTCATGGTGCTGGGGTGGGGAGGGAGCCCAGGCCCCGCTGCCTCCGGTCTAAGGATGTGGAGAGGCACAATCCCACCCCATCCCTGTACTGGGGAATAAGGGGCTGCAAGATGCTGGGAGGGCTGGATCCCCTCTGCTGGGAGGAGGGGCTGAGAGAGTTGGGGGGGTTCAACCTGGAGAAGAGAAGGCTCCGGGGAGACCTTGGAGCCCCTTCCAGTCCCTCAAGGGGCTCCAGGAGAGATGGGGAGGGACTCTGGATGAGGGAGGGGAGCCACAGGACAAGGGGGAAGGGTTTGACCCTGAAAGAGGGGAGATGGAGCTGAGCTGTGGGGAAGAACTTGTTTGGTGTGAGGGTGGTGAGAGCCTGGCCCAGGTTGCCCCGAGAAGCTGTGGCTGCCCCATCCCTGGAGGGGTTCAAGGGCAGGTTGGAGGGGGCTTGGAGCAACCTGGGCTGGTGGGAGGTGTCCCTGCCCAGGGCAGGGGGTGGAATGAGATGATCTTTAAGGTCCCTTCCAACCCAAACCAGTCTGTGACTCTGTGATTTCAGCTCTCCCTCATCAGCCAAGTGCTCGATCAGGAATTGTCATACCCCATCGAGCAGAGTAGGTGTGTGACTGTCACACTGCTGGGCTCGTGTCTTCAGGGACCTGATTTGTGCTTTCCTTCATCCATCCTCTTATTTTTGTCCCTCATTAGTGGGTGCCTGATGACCTTGTTGAACCCCGGGCCTAAGAAAGGGGGTTTTTGAGAAAGTACCAATCAGTGGAAGGAGCCAATTTTCCGTGGGGATTGGGGGTTGGAGAGGTGCTGGTCACCTGGGGGCCACTCCTGGGACACAGGGTGTCACTGGGGACTGTCACGTTGTGTGGGTGAGAACTGGGCTCCAAATTTATATTTATGATTGGCATTTCCACATCTGTTCTTAAATATTAAAGAAGCGCGATTTTATTTAAGCACCATCAGGAGGTGATTGCTTTTAAAACTATCTTTTCTTCTAAATATGGAGAGAAGAAAGTCGCCCCCCCCAAGGAAGGCTGATGTTGTTGGTGCAGGGTTCAAAGGCCCCGTTACCCAGGGAGGGCTCGTCCTGCAAATGAAGTGTCAGACGGGGTTTGGATGTCGCTCTTTGTGACAGCACCAAAGCTGTCCCTGATAAATATGTTTATGTGCCCCTTGCTGCTTTTTATCATAAATTATGTTGTTTTTCCTCTCCCTTTTGTTGTTCAAAACTCTGCCCTTGGCATAATCACCCTTTATTCTTCTCCCAAGTGAAATAAAGTGCAGACATTGAGGGCAGGAAAGCTGCAGATATAATACCACTCACAAAGTGCTCAATAGAAATCCTTTTTTTTCCCCTCTTTCTTTTTTTTTCCTTTCTCTGCCCTCCCCCCCGGTGTGCTCTAGGATTATATGAACCAACGATCGAACTAGTGATCGACATGAGTGCTCTCAAATGAGCTCTACCTTGGAATTCACTGTGCAAATCACAGTAAAGCCCCCCAAAAATGGGGTGATGCTGTTGTACTCAGACACATGCACTTGTCCAGTTGGTTACTGCATTTTTGACACCAAGACAGTGACTTTCAGAGAGGGGCTAATTCAGTTTATAACCCTTGTACGTGGGGTATTTAGAAGTATTTAAAAGTTCCTGAGTTAATTTTGAAGTGCTCAAGTCCCATCTTGAAAGAGGATTTGGATAAGTATTCTTTAAAATTATTTTGAGGTGGAATTTTTAGGGGCTGTAGAAGCAGACCCTGAGTTACTAAATGGAAGAAACTGAATAGATAAATAAAACCTCTCTTGGAAGAGTGAGAATTAATTCCTTTATTCCTTTGATTATGATTGAATATTTTGCTTTTTTACATTTTTGTTTGTAACAATTAATGTTTGCAAGTGACTGACTTTATTATGACACGTTTCTTTGATTTGTTACTATCTCGGAATAGAAGTAAAATTGATCTGAAAACTAAGCTTATTAAAATAATGTCTCTTTTGCCTAGGGGCCAAGGGATGCAGAGAGCGATGAGAATGAGAAGGGGGATAAGAAAAATAAGGGCACATTTGATGGCGATAAATTAGGAGATCTGAAGGAGGAGGGGGATGTGATGGATAAAACAAATGGTTTGCCCGTGCAGAACGGAATTGACGCAGATGTCAAAGACTTCAGGTATGTGCACCATCAGGTAATAATTAATCAGTGTCACACTGAACGTTTTTGGAAAGATTTTCCATGCTGTAGTGAAAAAGCCTTGGACTCGCTGAAACAGTGTCATAAGGGTGTTCTGCTGTGCAGAGGGAGGCAGAGAGGAGGTGAAGGATAACACCTGAGAGCTCTCCTCTGTACAGTGCCAGCTTGGTTTATTTTCACACCTGGTTTGGTTACCCTGTGAGGGATTCCTATGGAAATACCTATAGAAGGTGTTGACTCATTCTATGGGCCGGTCTTAATTACAGCTGGGGTTTTGGACTTGCTCCTTGGAGCTCTCAAGAGATTAAGGCTCTCTGAAACTGGCCATATAATCAATATAATCAGTGCAGCAGTATTTCTCTCTTGCTTAACCTGCTCATGATTTCATGGAGGAGAACTAACAGCCAGAGAGATGTGCTGTGAGGTGTGTGCTGCTGGTCCCTGCGTGGAGATGAACCATTTCCCACTCGAGTCCGATGCTTATTTTAGGCAATGAGTAAACTCTGGCAGCTACTTCAGAGAGGCTTCAAGTGAGATACAGTGCCAGAGTGTCACATGGCTAGTAATTACCAAATGGCTTTACGAAGAAGTGACTTTGGCACTTCTGAAATCCTGCCTTGTTATGACTGACTCTCTCAATTGAAGAGGAAAAAGAAACTGAATTAGTTTGTACTTGTGCTGTAACAGGTCTTTGAGGCAGGGGAGTGGGGCATTTTGTAGATGTTTTTTTGTTTGTTTGTTTTAAATATATAAATTGTTCCATAGAATTCATTTAGGCAAAGATTTTAGGCTTTCCTTTTATTTATTTTCCCTTTTTATCACAACATTGCCAAGCGGTCCTGGTGAGTGCTAGTGTCTGTGTGATGTGGTGTTAAATGGAGGTGCTCAGTGCCCTGTGTCTCCCCTCTCTGCGTAGCCGCACGCCTGGGAACTGCCAGAACTCTGCCAGTGAGGTGGATCTGCTGGGGCCAAACCAGAACGGCTCGGAGGGCTTAGCCCAGCTGGCGAGTACCAACGGTGCCAAGCCAGTAGAGGATTTCTCCAACATGGAGTCGCAGAGCGTCCCCCTGGACCCCATGGAGCACGTTGGCATGGAGCCTCTCCAGTTCGATTACTCCGGCACTCAAGTACCCGTGGACTCGGCCGCCGCCACCGTGGGGCTCTTCGATTACAATTCCCAGCAGCAGGTAACGTGGGGGCCCTTGGTCCTCCCCTTCCCACTCCAGTGCCTCCAGCAGCACCCTCGTGGGGCTGGCGTGGGCCCCTCGGCTCGAGGAGAGGGATGTGACAACCACAGAGTGTCCTCCTGGGGAGCTCCGTGTAATAAACAGCACTTGCCAAGAGCACTTTCCCGTGTCTTAGTCATTTTTAGCTGGAGTAAGTTGGCATTGGAGAAGAGCTTTAAATTAGTAGAATCACAGAATGGTTTAGGCTGAAAGGGACCTTAAAGCCCACCCGGTGCCACCCCCTGCCCTGGGCAGGGACACCTCCCACCAGCCCAGGTTGCTCCAAGCCCCCTCCAACCTGCCCTTGAACCCCTCCAGGGATGGGGCAGCCACAGCTTCTCTGCCCAACCTGGGCCAGGCTCTCACCACCCTCACACCAAACAAGTTCTTCCCCACATCTCAGCTCCATCTCCCCTCTTTCAGGGTCAAACCCTTCCCTTTGTCCTAGGGCTCCCCTCCCTGATCCAGAGTCCCTCCCAGCTTTCCTGGAGCCCCTTGAAGGCTCTAAGGTCTCCCTGGAGCCTTCTCTTCTCTAGGTTGAACCCCCCAACTCTCTCAGTCTGTCAGTAAAAACTGTAAACAAAAAAAACCCCTACCCTTGAGCTCGTAGAGTGACTTTTAAAGGTCAGTTGGCTGTTGGGCCTCGGCCCTGCTCTGGGGTCTCTGCAGTTCCCAACTGGAATAATGAGTGTGACCTGGCTCCTACCTGAGCTCGGGTTAAATCTGAGGTCGAAGTCCAACACGACAGAACTTTATCTCAGCCCCGTGGGGGGACTGACCTTTTCTCTCCCATGAGCAGCCCCAGCCCCTGGTCCCAGAGACCTCGCTCTGCTCTTGGCTCCTCCTGAACGCTGGGCCTGGATCCAGCCACGGAGCGGTAACCCTGCTCCTGTGGGCAGCCATCGTAAACTTTTATTGCCTGCCTTCTGCAACTAGAACATCCCTCCAAGAAGAATCAAACCCTTTGTTGTAGCTGACGCCGAGGGTGTAAAACCAGCCCTGCCTTCCCTCAAATATCTTCTGTAGGAAAGTAGCCCCTTGGCGCTCGGTGTGGAGGAAAGGCCAGGCCCAGGGTTGTGCTAAAGGTCCATCCCTCGGGGAGTTATCACAGTCTTCAAAGCAATGTAAATATCCGTGCTGCACCTGAATCGCTTGGGTTGGGATAAAGCATGTTTGGGAGGTTAAGAGTGGAAAATTTTTTAATGATTAAACTAAATAGCTGTTGTAGAGTACAAAAAGAAAGGAAAAAAAAACAACCCACCTGGTTTCAGGTCTTTGTCTCGCTGCGGTGTAGGACCTTGAATGCAGGAATTACTTTCAGACAATGAAATGTGTATTTTTTTAGTATTTTTTTTAAAACAGTGTATTAGAAATTAGAGCTAACTGAGTGAACTGCTTTTTAAAGAACTGTTAGATATGGGGAAATAACTGCGGGAATGCGAAGCCTGTAATTGGCATTTTGACAGTGTTTTCTGTTTAAATTAAGGCTCATTTACAAGTTTTAAGTACCTTTTATTTTTTCGCATTTTGACAGTGTTTTCTGTTTAAATTAATTTAAAGTTTTAAGTACCTTTTATTTTTAATTTCCTTCCAGCCTTTCAAAAATAGGCTTTAAAATTTGGCATGTCTTGCATCCTAGCTGGTGGGAATCAGAACTCTAGAAGCAAGACCGAGCTGGAGATGTGCTGGTTTCAGAAGGGGTTGTGGGACGGCGCTGGGGTCCTGGGGGCAGACCTGAGTTATTTGGGGGTTTTTCCATAAAAAAGTGGATGGGTGATAACTGGGTGATTTTCTTTTTCAGAAGGGGTTGTGGGACGGCGCTGGGGCCCTGGGGGCAGACCTGAGTTATTTGGGGTTTTTTTCCATAAAAAAGTGGATGGGTGGTACCTGGGTGATTTTTTTAATGGGATCCTGGGCTGCATAGGGCAGAGTGTGGCCAGCGGGACAAGGGAGGTCATTGTCCCCCTCTGCTCTGCACTGGGGAGGCCACAACTGGAATCCTGCGTCCAGTTCTGGGCTCCCCAGTTCAAGAGAGACTGGGAACTGCTGGAGAGAGTCCAGCGTAGGGCAACAGAGATGATGGAGGGATTGGAGCATCTCCCTGATGAGGAAAGGCTGAGAGAGCTGGGGCTCTTTAGCCTGGAGAAGAGAAGGCTGAGGGGAGACCTTCTTCATGCTTCCAAGGATCTAAAGGGTGGGTTGAAGGAGGATGGAGCCGGACTCTTCTCAGTGGTTCCCAGTGACAGGACGAGGGGCAACGGGCACAAGCTGGACCATGGGAAGTTCCACTCCAATGGGGGGCAGAACTTGTTTGGGGTGAGGGTGGCAGAGCCCTGTCAGAGTCTGCCCAGGCAGGGTTTGTGGTCCCTTTCTCTGGAGATCTTCAAGCCCCACCTGGATGCTCCTGAGTGATGTGCTCTGGGCAGCCCTGCTTTGGTAGGGGAGTTGGATGGGATGGTCTCTAGAAGGTCCCTTCCATCTCTGACAATTCCCTGATTCCATGATACCTGTCACCTCCATCATCAGGCTCAGACCTTCCTGCTGCCTGTGGAGCTGCGGTTCCCTCTGGGAAATGTGGATTTTGGGGGCAGGGGGAGGCCCAGCCGGGCTGGGCAATAGGGGCTGGTACTGGATTTCCAGCTTTGCTGCTGCTCACACCTCCAGTAACTGCCAGTGCCAGGCTGGTGGCAGCACAAATGCTGGGTTAAAGGATTCAGAGATTCACTCTGCTGCCAAACGTGACCTCTCAGCACACATTTGTGTAAATGCCACATGTTTTGGCTCAGAGTTGTACCCGGTGTTTTTTATAATACATGATGTCCAGCAGCCAGCATTTCTTGGTTTTCCCTGCCTGCCCGTTCAGCCCGTGGGAAGGCAATCTCTTTTGGTGTTATGGCTTTTTCCGTTCAGTGTCAGAAGGAAATATGTCCTGAATAAAAGGATCTGGTCTCCATAAGTGTCTCTCTCGGCCTGTTGGGAGGCGTCCTACACTTTGAAGGGATTACAAGCAAGAGCAGCTAAAAGCAATATTAAGAAGGGAAGGTCTTACCCACGTGTAATCTGATTAGAGCTGTCAGATGTTTATATTGCAGAAGAAGCTGGCTCTCAGAAATCTGCCCTCACTCTGTTCCCATGGCTGGCATCCAGCCGGGATGGGCTGGGGCCTCGGGATCCCCTGGATGAATCCCCCACCCCCTGTTTAATGACACTTCATTTGTGTGATTGTGGGAGAGGGGGAAATCACCTTGGTTTTTGAGATGTGGGTGATGCTGCTGAGCTCCCCCAGAACGCTGTCGGTCGTGGGGAGGTTTGCACTCGGAATGGGATTTCTAATCAGCTAAAATGCTCCGTGTGTGTGTTCTTGTAACTTCAGCCTCACTTTGTAAATGCCAGTTAATGCTCCTCTGAGAAGAGGTTTCTTTTCCTCTTTTCGTTTGTCCACTTAGAGACCACAATTTAATATTAGAGACCACAATTTAATACTGATACATATTAAACACACCGATGTGTACTGATAGCCTTAGTTTCCTACCCAGTAGGCTTCCAAATAAGATGATAAAAAGCTATTATTTGAGTTTTTGCTTTGTTTTGTGGAATATAGGTCTGTGCTGTCAGCAGATGGAGACAGTGCATTGAGGCTTTAGGAGCTCTTCCTAAATACGTAGAGTTGGTGATTCCTCAGCTCGTGTGGCAGAGGGGCTTCTCTGGAGAAGCAAAACCTGAAATTGGGGTGGTTTTTGTTGGCTCTGCTTCCTTCTCTGTGCGACAGGGAGTGTGACATCTGCAGCTGCAGGAGGTTTGAGCTTCTCAGGCTGAGTTTCTGGTGGGTGAGTCGGGCAGAGCTGGGTTGGCAGAGCTGGGTTGGCAGAGGCTGTGATTTGGGGCAGGCGGAGGGAGAGGCTGGTGCTGGGAGTCACTGCCCGAGTGCGTGGCACAGACACTGACACTTCTCTGACCTTTCTCTGGAAGGGAAGCCATAAAGATCCGTGAGGAGGTGGCAGGAATCCAGCCCTTCCTCGTGCTTGTGGGGTGAGGGCAGAAGGTTTGCACGTGGGTTTAGAGCAGCTGGGGGATATCTGAGGATGGGAGTGACACCAGTTGGGGCTGAGTCTGTCGGTCTCTTTGGTCACAGATACTCAGGGGGATTTTCTCAAGCAGGTAAAGGCCTGCCCGGCCACTCTGCTCCGTATTCCTCCCTTCTGTGATACTGGTACCTTTAGGTAAAGGAGCATCCAACGGAGAAATAAATACTGCTTTGAGGAGGTGGAGATTTGGCTAGTACTTGTAATGTAAAAACGGATCATCGAGATGTATTTGGGAGGGGTGGAACTCAACTGAGCATGAGAAAAGGTGAGGAGGTGGCAGGAATCCAGCCCTTCCTCGTGCTTGTGGGGTGAGGGCAGAAGGTTTGCACGTGGGTTTAGAGCAGCTGGGGGATATCTGAGGATGGGAGTGACACCAGTTGGGGCTGAGTCTGTCGGTCTCTTTGGTCACAGATACTCAGGGGGATTTTCTCAAGCAGGTAAAGGCCTGCCCGGCCACTCTGCTCCGTATTCCTCCCTTCTGTGATACTGGTACCTTTAGGTAAAGGAGCATCCAACGGAGAAATAAATACTGCTTTGAGGAGGTGGAGATTTGGCTAGTACTTGTAATGTAAAAACGGATCATCGAGATGTATTTGGGAGGGGTGGAACTCAACTGAGCATGAGAAAAGGTGTTTTCAGAGAAAATAAGTGCTTTTTTACCCTTTAGACAGGCAGCTAAGACTCTAGCCTTTTCCTTCGCTTGCCACCTTGGCAGAATACACGTTAGCAGACCAGCAAAACAGATCCCAGGGGTGCAAAAGAACATGAAAATGAAAGGTTTTGGTGAAATGTTTGTAGCTGAAGAAAGCTAAAGTATTGGATTGCTGGACTCCATACTAAAGTCGACCCCAAAACCCGGGCTGGCTGTTCCAGACGCATCTATACCCAGCAGGGAAGCAGTTTAGGGGATATATATTTATTTATTTCCATATCTGCTGATGCTGCTCAGTGAAGGAGATGTTGCTGGAGACTCCTACAAGGCCGATATCCCTCATTCCATGTTCTGCAGGTCACAATTTTCCATCATTTCCTTGCTTTTTTAAACTAAAAGAAGTCAGTGGAGCATTTGATCCAGCTCCTAATGACAGATGGTCCATTAACGATGATTACACCCCTTGGAAGAGCTCAGCTTTGTGTTGTGTGAAGTATTGTTGAAGGATGTGTTTAAAAAAATGAAAAAGGAATTAAAAACAGGTGTGTTCTGCAGGAAGGCTGCTGGGAGTGGTTTATGGCCCTCCTGATGTTAGGCCCAGGGAGGTAATAAAGTACCTGTGGGTGTGATAGGTTTCTCCATGAGCCTAATTACGATACTCCTTGGATATATGGAGGAGTCCTGGCATCTTAAGGGGTGAGGAATCTTTGGGGAAAACAGTTTGGCACACAAAAGATCAATTCTAGATCCCTGAAGTACAAAATTTCCACATCTTATATCTGATACTAGTCCCTTATGTATTTTTTTTTCTCTTTCTGAACTTTTAAAAAGAAAAATAGAGGTAGATAATTACCTTTTTCTTTTCAGATTTTCTGTTGCTCATCCTGCTCTCGGGAGAAGCAACTCTGATTTTTGCCTTTCAAAAACCAACCAAACCCACCCTAATTTTCTAAATGATTCTGTGCTTCTTGGTAGTTGTGAGTTTCTGCCAAAAATTTGGGTAGAATGATTGCTGCTTGTGCCAGCTGAAGTGGCTCACTGGGCTGGGCTGGAAGGAGGGCAGAGACAAGAGGTGTGAAAATTGTAGAGCATTTAGGCCCTGTATTTTTTATTTTTTATTTTTCCAAGTGAGTGGAGGGAGAAAACCTTTATCACAGCGGTTTGTGAAGTCGTTCACAGCTCAGAAATGATCACTTGTGGAAGTAAGTGGGGATGAGCCCTTGTTGTGGAGAGCTTCAGAGTGGCTGGTCAGCTGGTGGGTGTTTTAACTGGAATTTGGGGATGGCCTGGATCAGTTCAGGGAGTGTTTGATTTAGGAAGCTGGGGAGTAAGTTTTTAAGTAAGGACCTGGATGAATTAAAAAGAAACCCCAACCCTGAGCAAAAATACTTTATAGAATAATATAATAATATCTTTTTTTTTTTCTTTTTTTCCCCTTATTGAGAGGTGTGTCCTCAGTAACGTTGCCTGTTGCTCCCTGACTGTGACAGCAGTGGGACTTGGTGTCACAAGTGCTGGTTTGCAGGCCGTGTGTGCCTCCCACCTTCCCAAACCACTGCCCTGGCAATTGCAGAGACAGCAAAGGGGCTTTCAGCCTCTGGGCTCTCATCCTGCTGTAAAGGGAGATTTGAGCAGCAAATGAGTCAGGGAGAAGCTGGTCTGATCTTAGGTGTAAGTCGCCGTGTGTGCTTCCCACCTTCCCAAACCATTGCCCTGGCAATTGCAGAGGCAGCAAAGGGGCTTTCAGCCTCTGGGCTCTAATCCTGCTGTAAAGGGAGATTTGAGCAGAAAATGAGTCAGGGAGAAGCTGGTCTGATTTGAGGTGTAAGTCCATCTGCTGGCAAGGCCAAAATCAGAACAGCCCATAGAGGAATCATGATGTTGTATCAGCCTTATAAAGGTGGATCACCTTAATCAGCAACAAAAATAAATGAAGCAAAGGACTTGGAATGCACTGCTAAAAGTTGAAATCTGAAGCTGTGGGTCATAAGAGATTGAGCAGATAGTTTGTGCAACAGCTTTCATGTCTCCTCGTTCTGCACGGTCTCTTAACCCTGCATTGATTGTTCCTATTTAATGTCATAATTAAAGGTTTAAGATTATTTAAAAGCAAACTGAAATCCTCTACAGTTCTGTAAAGTCAGGTACAGTTGTGCTCCTGCGAGGAGCAGGGAGTTGGACTGGTGTTATGGGTCCCTTCCAGCTGGAGATACTCATCATTCTGTGGTCCTGTGTGCTTTGGGAGATGTCACCTGAAGTTCCTGGGTCTGGTTTCTCTCTGTGGGCACAGAATTTACACCCAGGAGATGCTGGGGATGGAGGACTGGAGGTAAGGGGAGTGTGTTGTCCAGGGCCTTGTGAGCTCCTGAGGCAGGTGTCCCCTCTGGTGTCCCCTCTGGTGGCTCTGAAGCCATCCCAAGGGCATTGTCCCTCCTACCCCCCGCTCTGCCATCCCCGTGTCCCTTGAGGCCACCCAGGAGAGTCACACGGGTTTCCCTGGGCTTGGTGGGGTCAGGATCTGGAGATGCTGGTGGCAGCTACTGGTGATCCACAGGCTCCAGTGAGAGCTTGTGTGTTTGAGGAGGAAACATGGCTTTCAGGCATTGTGCAGAGAACAGCAGAGAAAACCCTGGCTGTGCTTTAGCTGTACTTCAGAAATACAGTTATTTTTTTCAGGTGGATTATCACAGGCAATTGATTTCAAAGGGGTTTGCTTTTTCTTCCAATTCCTTTTGAAACGGTTCCCTTTTAAAGAGGAGCGTCTGTAGTTGTGAAAAATAAATGTAGTGTGAAGGAATTGCTTTAAAGGGAAGTAAGAGAATGCTTTTTGTGTGTGAGTAAAGGACCGTGTTTGTGTTTTTTTGCCCCTCCAGCTGTTCCAAAGACCCAATGCCCTGGCTGTTCAGCAGCTGACGGCGGCGCAGCAGCAGCAATACGCCTTGGCAGCCGCCCACCAGCCCCACATAGGTAAGTCTGGCATTTCATACCTCACATGTTACTGGTAGTCCTCAGAATACGTCAGGAAAACAGCAGAGGAAAAGGATTGGTAGGTTTTAGAAAATCCTAAATCTGTTTTTCCACCTGGTAACGGACACGTGAGCGGATGTGTGTTGGGTGAAGATGGGCTTGAAAAATTCGGGAGGTCTCTGTGGCACACACTGAAAGCTCTGGAGTGTTGGTGTGTGGCAGGAAGGACACTGGTCCTTTGCTGAGGGCACTGCCCATAAGGAGAGTGTCCTGAAGCACTTGCTCTGAGCGAGGGATGGGTTGGGGTGAGCACAGGGAAGTCGGGGAAAAATGCACAATTCAACATAATATCTGAGTGTGCTTCTGTGCATCCCCTGCCCGGGGTCTGGCTTTAGGGTAAGATGTAATTTATGCCAATGCATGATTCATATCATTAAACCAGTAGAGATTAACAGGGAAGAAAGCACTTTATCCTGTGTGTAGAAAAACAAGAGAACAGCAGAAGGGCCACTCGTGGGTGATGGGAGTTCAGCTGGAAAGCACTTTATCCTGTGTGTAGAAAAACAGGAGAACAGCAGAAGGGCCACTTGTGGGTGATGGGAGTTCAGCATCTGAGGGTTAAACGTTTCTAGCAAAATAAGCCGTTTAAGTGGCAGCTCTTCCTGCCCAAGAGCCCAGTGCCATGTGCTGGGACTCCCCCAGCTCCGTGCAGTGCCCTTGGGTGCTCACTGGAGTTCAGTGATAGACCCAAATTAAAATTATTTGGCTTTTTACCTTAATCCTCTTCACCTCCCCTCCACGCCCCCTCCCGCCCCCGGTAATTTCTCTAATGATTAAACCCTTTCCTTGCAGAGGAGGAGAAATGCTGCCCAGCAGTGGCAGTGCCCTGTGATACTGCCTCTGCCCTCCTCAGCTCCTTCCAAACTGGTTTATTGACGTCCTGGGCTTGTGTAGTGGGGATGGAGCTCAGAAAGTAGCATACACTGGGCGTTGATTAACTGTAGAAATAGAGAAGAGTATCAAGCAATTAGATAATGTTAGTATTGAGCTGGTGTTGACAGTCACCTCTACAGTAAGGAGGTGCTGCAGAGATACTTGAGCAGTTACTGGTATTGTATATTGACTGTTTTACCACTTTAACTTCCCTTATGGGGCGTTGCATCCTTAGAATTGGGTTTCTTCTCTGTAAATTAAATCCTCTGTTCTATGAAGACTGGGAAATGCCGCGGTTACTCCCTCCCTGCAGACACCACCCTGTAAAAAGCTTGGAATTACTAAAGCAAACTTGACTTCTGTGTTCACCAGCCGCCTAGTCAGAGGTATTTTGGTAGGGCTTCAGTTCTAGTTAAGTTTGTTTTTACTGACAGGTATGTTTTCAGCAGGTTTAGCTCCTGCTGCCTTCGTCCCCAACCCCTACATCATCAGCGCCGCTCCGCCGGGAACGGACCCCTACGCAGCCGGGCTCGCCGCCGCCGCCACGTTAGGTGAGATGCTCCCACTTCTCCCTGCTTTTGTGGCCGTTTTCTGACCCAAACTGCTCTTGAGTCCTTCATTGTGGACATTAAATATCAGCACGTTATAATTTCTGCAGAGAGAGAATTGGACATCGGTGAGTTGAGAGAGAGTTTGTCTTGGAAAAACCTATTTTCTGCAGATTAAATGTGGTAATTTGTGTGTAACGCTTGCTCCGGGCTCTCTTTCTGGTGGGGATGAACAACCAGAGGATACCTGAACTGAAACACCTGCAGACAGAAATGTTGCTACGTGTTTGGAGTGTTTTGGTGACCAGCATTAGGGAGAGATACCTTTGAAAATGCACCTGTTAAATGCTGGAAGGAGGGAGGATGTGTTTGCCTACCAGGAACGTTGTCTCGTTGCTGTTGAGCTTTATGGCCCGTAGCACATCCTGCAAACCCCGTCTTTCCCTCTTGTTTGATTCTGTTCAGAATTCATGCTTTTTAGGTTCTGTGGGTAAAACCATCCCTGATGTGCCAGGAGGTTTACGCTGGGAATACGCCGTTTCCCAGATGGCCACCAAAGATGGTGGCTCTTGGCTTTGGGCGAGCTCCTGCTCCCAAACGTTCAGCTATCGCTTTCCAAATCCTCGCCAACTGTCGTAAGCCAAAACTGTTGTATCTTGGGACGCCAGCTCGGTGAAACAGCTTATCAGGGCTGTGAGGAACACACTGTGCGTTGAACTTCTGCTGCCTACACCACAAAGTTCTTGCCCAAACATCGAGGAGAAGTGAAGAGTGTGCTTTCAGAAGAACATCTTTATAACCGTGCTTTGCTTTCCCTGAGCCACCGGCAGGGGAAGCCTCCTACGTTTTAAATCAAAACTGCTTTAATCAGAGGAGTGGGGATTTGAAGTGGAGCCTGCACGTTGTTGCCACACTCCACTTAGAAATTCCCCCAGCACATCCCGTGGGATGGCTCATCCCAAACAAAACCCGGGGAACGTTGGTTGTAGGGGAATTCCTGGCTCTGCCCAAGAGCCCTGTGGTTGGGACGTGCCTTTTTGGCGGGTTTACCAGCTCTTGTGTAACCCCTGCTTAGCTTTTAAGCTGCGAGGGCAGTAGCAGGTCAAGCTCTGAAATGGGATTTCAGCCACGGTCACCCGGTCGGGTGGCGTTTGTAGCCGTATGGAAATATGTAAAGAATTGAGATTATAGTGTGAAGATGGGCTTGGGACTCCTGGGCTGCTGGGGCTGTTGTCTGGGGATTGTGTAATAACAACGCGAGATGAAGTGTAGGTAACAACGTGGTGTTGGCAAACAAATAATGCTGTGATGAAATGGCAGGAAGCCAAGAGCTAGAGTACAAGGATGTTCCTGCTGCTCCAGGGGTCGATAAACTCTCATGTTGCTGATGGATGTGTGGATGAATGAGTGACCTGAACTCTTGGTGGCAGATAGAGGGGAGGAGGTGCTGGGACACCAGCAATGCCAGTTACAGGCACAAGAGGTGCTTTGTAAACTATTACCATGGAAAGAGGATTCTGGTTGGCCTTTTTGCATCACCTCAGTGCTTCCAAAGCTCGTTCTTCTGTCACACTCTGCAGCTGGGTGGAGCAGGAGGGCAGCCTCTTGATTTCATAGAAAGACCACACGTAACTGCTGCCAGATTTCTAGGGAACAGCAAGAGTGTTTGCAACAACTCTTTTTTTTTTTCCCCTTTTCTCAGCAGTACTGAAGCTGCAGCTGCCTGAATACCTGAGTGGGGCCTTAGACATTCGAACTAGGAAATCCTGTACCCCAGGATACCTAAAGCATCATAAAACGTAGCGTCAGGATCTCTGCTTGAATAATTTTTTAACTTTATGACTCCTGAAAGCAAAACAAGAGTGTGTAACATGCTGCCATGTACCTATAGTGTTTCACCACTGAGAAGTACAAGTTTCTTCACCTGGCTCATGGGGCTCTGGACCCCAGGAGGTAGAAATGGCAATAGAACAAACTCAGTGGTGTTTGCTTGAAGAAAAGCATCTCTGTGTCTGGGCTGGAGCAGCTGGGAAAGCCCTTCCTGTGCAGTGACTGAGGGCAGCACGGAAGGAGCAGGGCCATTGAGATGTTCAGAGTGAGTGTAAGGTCAGGAGACCTCCCTGGTGCCTGTGGGAGTGTGAAGCTGGGAGGGCTTGGAGGAGTTCATGAGATGAAAGAAATGAGTTTCGAGTTGTTGGAAGTTTATTGCTCACAGTTACTCTTAAAGTGGAAGGGAAACTTTTGCACATTTTATGGTGGAGATAATTCTGTCAATTAACATTCTGCTGTTATGGCAGGTTTTTCATGACTGTCAGCCCTGTGATAATACTCATTTCTTCCCAACAATAGTAGCATTTTAAAGAACAAATTTGAATGAAGAGGGAAGGGCTTCTTAGACTCAAGAAAAAAACACTTTGGAGTTTAAGCTGTGGGGAAGACTGCTGTCTTTAAAATGTGTTGTGAAATTGCCTTCTATCATTTGAGAAGGATGTCACTCAAGAAAAAGAAATCTTGCCTTTTGTAAGACAAGCTGGGAAAGGTTGATTCCCTCAGAGATGGTATGTTACAGGTAGAAAAGGGTTTCTGTTCCTTGTAGAGAAGCTGGATGCTGGAATAATCTGTGTGCAGGAAAAGCAGGAGTGCTCCTGGACCGAAGGTGGGGCCGGTTTGTGATGTCTCTGCTCTGGGCTTCTCCAGCCTGGGATGTGTCAGCTCTGGCTTCTCCAGCCTGGGATGTGTCTGCTCGGGCTTCTCCAGCCTGGGATGTCTCTGCTCTGGGCTTCTCCAGCCTGGGATGTCTCTGCTCTGGGCTTCTCCAGCCTGGGATGTCTCTGCTCTGGGCTTCTCCAGCCTGGGATGTCTCTGCTCTGGGCTGCTCCAGCCTGGGATGTGTCTGCTCTGGGCTGCTCCAGCCTGGGATGTCTCTGCTCTGGGCTGCTCCAGCCTGGGATGTGTGTGCTCTGGGCTTCTCCAGCCTGAGATGTGTCTGCTCTGGGCTTCTCCAGCCTGGGATGTCTCTGCTCTGGGCTGCTCCAGCGTGGCTGGCTGAGGACCCGCAGTCACTTGGTGCAGAGCTGTGTCCCATCAGAGCCAGCTCCAAGCTGGGGTCAGGCCCAGGTGCCTCACGTGCCACCCAGGGCCAGGGTTTGGGGAGCACCTTGTCCTGCACGGTGCCATCTCCTCCCTGGGTCTGTGCTAGCCCCGGCAGTGCCTGGCAGGGGCTGCTCCAAAGCCCTTCCACTTCACAGCTCACAAATCACTAGGAATTGGTAAATTTGCTACTTGCAGCCTTGCATTTTCCGACGTGAGGTTCTGGAGGCTGTTTGACCTGGTGGACACCAAGTCTTTGTCCTTGGCAGAGAGCAGGCAGGGCTTCCACACAGAGCTGGGAGCGTGAGGCTGAGATGAAAAGCAAAAACGTTGCGATGAACACACTTACCGATGGTTTTGCTAATGTTTCTTGAAAAGAATATTTATGGGTGTCTGTGGCCAACGTGAGAGACGTAGCAGTGGGAATATTTGATTTCAAAGGCACTAGAATGGCTTTTATTTTCTCACGTTTGTGTATCTTTAATAAAGTGTAAAAGCAGGTGCAGATACCTCCTGAAGCAGGGCAGCAGCCGGCGCGGGGCTGTGCGTCTGGCGATGATGACACACTTGCCCTCACTGAGAACACTGTTCCATAATGAGCCTCGACCAAGCGCTCAAATGAGCTGAGCCAGACTCGCAGCTCTTTTAAGCCCAGCTGCCTGCAAACTTCAAAGACTTTGTGCCTCTTCTTCTTTTAAACACCTAAGGCTTTTGCAGATCTGATGAGGAACCTCTAACTTGGTAAAAAAAAAAAATAAAAATCTCCATCTAGATTGTGCTTGTTTGATAATTAGAACTGAGATTAAAATAACCCAGAGAGATGCCCACATTTTGCCCAGATAAAGGGTATTGCAGCAACTTCCCAGTAGCCTCTGGGCAAACACAGACTAATTACTGGCATAAAATGGAGCAGTTGCAGCTATTTTCCTGTCGAGTGCAGAAGCACCCAAGCAGTTGCTGTCTGAATATAAACAGGATATAATCATAGAATCATAGAATGGTCAGAGTTGGAAGGGACCTTAAAGACCACCCAGTGCCACCCCCTGCCCTGGGCAGGGACACCTCCCACCAGCCCAGGTTGCTCCAAGCCCCATCCAGCCTGGCCTTGGACCCCTCCAGGGATGGGGCAGCCACAGCTTCTCTGGGCAACCTGTTCCAGCCTCACCACCTTCTCTGGGCAACCTCACCACCCTCACAGCAAAGAAGTTATTTCTGGTATCTAATCTAAATCTCCCTCTTCCAATTTAAAACTGTTCCCCCTTGTCCTGTCCCTGCACTCCTTGACAAAGAGTCCCTCCCCAGCTCTCCTGGAGCTCCCTTCAGATATTGGGAGGCTGCTCTAAGGTCTCCCCGGAGCCTTCTCTTCTCCAGGCTGAACACCCCCAGCTCTCTCACCCTGTCCTCACAGCAGAGGTGCCCCATCCCTCTGATCATCTTTGTGGCCCTCTGCTGGCCCCGCTCCAACAGGTCCATGTCCTTCCTGTGCTGAGGACTCCAGAGCTGGACACAGAGCTCCAGGTGGGGTCTCACCAGCACAGAGTAAGGTGTAATCCACTTACCAGCTCTGTGTCTGTAACTGCTCTGCTCAAGGGAGGCAGTACCGTTGTGGGATTGAGGACTTTTAATTTTAGCAGCCACTGCTTGTGAATTCCCAGGTTGGAAGGGAAGAAACCTGCTTGTATCGGGAGCAGCGTGGCCAGCAGGAGCAGGGCAGGGATGGTGCCTCTGTCCTCGGCGCTGGTGAGGCCTCACCTTGAGGGCTGGGTTCAGTTCTGGGCCCTTCACCACAAGAAGGACATTGAGGGGCTGGAGCGTGTCCAGAGGAGAGGCACCAAGCTGGGGAGGGGTCTGGAGAACAAGTCACACGAGGAGAGGCTGAGGGAACTGGGCATGTTGAGTTTGGAGAAGAGGATGCTGAGGGGAGACCTCATTGCCCTCTACAGCTCCCTGAAAGGAGGGTGCAGAGAGGTGGGGGTTGGCCTCTTCTCCCAAGGGAATAATGCCAGGAGCAGAGGGAATGGTCTGAAGTTGGGGCAGGGGAGGTTTAGATGAGATGTTGGGAAGAATGACTTTGCTGAGAGGGTGGTCAGGCCCTGGAACAGCCTGCCCAGGGAGGTGGTGGAGTCACCATCCCTGGAGGTGTTGAAAAAATGTGTAGACGTGGCACTTCAGGGCGTGCTCTAGTGCCTGAGATTGTGGGGGTCTTCTGTGTGTGTGTGTGGTTGGACTTGATGATCTCAAAGGTCACTTCCAACCATGAAGATTCTGTGATTCTGTGAAAGAAAGTGGTTGCTGCTGCAGGACAAATCAGAGTAAGGCAGACAGGTCACCTCCTGGGGCTGGCGGTGCACAGGAGATCTAGTGAAGGTGGCTTTGGTGGCAGAGCTTTAGGGAGAGGCACACACCGAGGGTTGGGATGAACTGCTGGAGTGCCTCCCGTGAGACATCAACCTGCTCCTGGCACCTCCCTGCACACGTGGAGCTGGGCCTGGGCCTTGGTGACGCTGCAGAGCCCGAAATGTGGGGAAAGTACAGTGGGTGAAAGCACATAACAAAGGAGAGTAGCTGTGACACTTCTGAAATATGAATTTACTATTTGAAGATTAAATATATGAGTATTTGAAGCATTACTGCATCCTGGCAGTGGGCAGCAGTGATTGCAGGAGCAGGGGCTGAGATGCAGCCTGTGGGTCAGCTTCTGCGCGATGGAGCAGGTCGTGTGAGACACACACACCTTACTGTGCACAAAAAAACCAACAAAACCAACACAAAACCAAAAGAAAAAAGTGCTTCCTGGGTTTTTCCCTCTGTCATACCCCAACTTCCACTCAGCAGTGTCTTTGTGCATCTCCCTTCTTATTGTCATCCCTTATTTTTGGGAAATGATTTTTCAGTCTCTGGGGGCAAACGCTTAGAGTCTTTATGTGCATTACACTGTTGTCCCTGTGGGGTCTCACTGTGAGCCATAACTAACAGCAGTACTGAAACCCCTTGTTTAGAACTCAATTCTAACCCTCTCTCTTAAAATAGGAGCTAATTTTACTCCATATAAGAATTAAGAGTGTGGTTCAGATTCACTACAGACTCATTTACTCTGCGGTGTCAGACCCACCCGTGGCACCCTGCCTTAGGGAGGCTGGTGTGCCCTGAGTTATTCCTGCTGTGGGGAGGGAACCCCTGGGACAGGTGAGGTGTTTGAAAAGCAAAGGAAATGCTCCTGCTTCTCTGCTGACCTTTCCAAGAGGTGTACACAGCATATTAAAAAATGTTATTGAACTCCCACCCGTGTGACGTGGTGGGAGGGACTCCGCTGTTCAGCACAGAGCACTCACTGCTTCCTCAGAATTCCACCAGCTGGAATGATTTAAGGATATCTTTTCCGTCACCAAATTAAGTGTGCGGTGCCCTGAGACTTGATAAAACACAATGAAACTTGAAAACTTACGCTTTTTCTGGTGCTTTTTTTTTAAGCCTCTTCAGCTGGAGGAGGGGGAATGTGAAAAGCCACAGGATCGTACAGCCTCTTTCATGGTGCTTTGCAAATGCAAAATAGGACTGAGTGGCTGGAAAAATAACGTTTTAAATACTCGAGAACTGATGCTATCAGATGCAAAGAGGCTTTTAAACTTTATTTGAGAGCTAAATGATAGATGTTATTGAGCTGTGGATGTCAGCTGAGATTAGAAGAGACTTGTCCATCTGTGCTTAAACAAGTTTCCCTCTCTTTTGGTTAGAGATAAAGTTTTGGTTCTTCACTGTAAAATTAGGGCACAACAATAAAAATGTAGAATTTCAACAGGATCACTGCTAGCAGAACTTGACCTCATCTGATACAGTAAAAGCAAGTAAAGATGAAATTTTTAAAAACGAATAACACAAATGCCAGAATCCCTCTGTATTTGCCCAGGATTTAAAGCAGATCACCTGGCTGTAGGGTTGGTGAAACCCGAAGTGCTGAGCGGGTGGTTTGGGTGGCTCCTGAAGCTCACGGGTTGCCTTGTCCCTGCAGGTCCTGCCGTGGTCCCTCACCAGTACTACGGCGTCACGCCCTGGGGAGTGTACCCCGCCAGCCTCTTCCAGCAGCAAGCGGCCGCCGCCGCCGCCGCCACCAACTCTGCCAACCAGCAGACCACCCAGCAAACCCAGCAGGGCCAGCAGCAGGTAAGGCTGTCCTTTACAGGAAACACAGCAACTTTGAGAAAATCCTGATTTTAATTTTTTTTTCCAATGACTGCTCCCGACGCTCAGTTGTAATTGTGGAAAAGAGCCATTAATCTCCCTTAAAAATAGGAGAAAAAACATCTGTACATCCAGTGGTGTCATTTAAGCATCACCCACATGGAGGATAATGCACGTACCTTTGTGGTGGTGAATTATTGGGTGTTAGTGATTTGGCAAAGAAATAATCTCCTGAGTTTGTGGACACCCTGAGCAAACCCATGCCTTGGTGTGGGAGTGGAAATCATTGTCCTGCATCCTGTTCTGGTGCTTGTCACTGCAGCTCGATGGGTGTGGAAACAACGAAGACCTGTGTCAAATACAATTAAAGAAATAATCTCCTGAGTTTGTGGACACCGCTGAGCGCTGCCATAGCAAACCCATGCCCTTGGTGTGGGAGTGGAAATCATCGTCCTGCATCCTGTTCTCCTGCCTGTCCCTGCAGCTCGATGGCTGTGGAAACAGTGAAAACCTGTGTCAAATACAGTCATAGCACTGTCTGGGTTGGAAGGGACCTTTAAGATCGTCTAGTCCAACTATCAGCCTCACTCTGATAAAAACCATCACTAAACCATGTCACCAAGCACTATGTCAACCAGCTTTTGAATACCTCCAGGGATGGTGCCTCAACCCCTGCCCTGGGCAGCCCATTCCAAGGCTTCAGAACCCTTTCAGTGTCAAAATTGTTCCCAATCTCCAACCTGAACCTCCCCTGGTGCAACCTGAGGCCATTTCCTCTTGTCCCATGGCCTGTTCCTTGGGAGCAGAGACCGACCCCCCCTGGCTACACCCTCCTTTCAGGGAGTTGGAGAGAGCCAGAAGGTCTCCCCTCAGCCTCCTTGTCTCCAGGCTGAACACCCCCAGCTCCCTCAGCCTCTCCTCACAAGACTTGTGCTCCAGACCCCTCACCAGCTCCATTGCCCTTCTCTGGACCCACTCCAGCCCCTCAAGGTCTTTTTTGTGGTCTGGTGGCCTCCTTGGCCACCTGGGCACACTGCTGGCTCCTGTTCAGCCCACAGGCCACCAACACCCCCAGGTCCTTTTCCATGGGGCAGCTCCAGCCACTCTGCCCCCAGCCTGGAGCTGCAGGGGGTGGTGGGACCCAAGGGCAGGACCTGACACTTGGCCTTATTGAAATGTCAATAAGTGTGTTCTTATCTTCAGGGTGCTCTCCTGTATAGGCTGTTTTTTTTTTAATGAAGATTAGCTTTAAAAGGGCCAAAGTACCAGCAGAAAGAATCGGTTTGATGTCCATGTGGGGACTTGAAAACAAAGGATGAGTGCAAAAAGAAAAACTGAATTTGCTGTTTTTTATAAGGTGAACTGTTTTGCTTTAGTCTGCTCAAAAGGTTGGAGAATTTGGCATCTAAAAGGACAAAACTAATGAAGTTAGTGAAGGTTTTTCATATGATCTGCTGCTACCCTTTTAAGTGTGTTAAAGATGAATATTGAGACAGGTATCTGCTGTTTAAATGTTTGGTTCTTAAAAAGCCAAGAGTTCACCCTGGGAACTGCTAAGGGGAACTCTTTCCTTACATATTTTGTCAGTGATGGGTGCTTGACAGGTTTGTACCGTCCACCTCCTCTCTGAATCCCTTGGCAGAGATGAATCACTGTAATTCCTTGCTCTGGACTTGGGTTTTGGTTTGGGTTTTTTTCTCCTATACTTGGAATTTAACTAGGTTAATTTTCTTAACTTCAGTTAGGTAAAGTAAGCATATTAAAGGTTGGTATTTAATCATAGTCATACCTCTGATGCAGATGACAGAAATGTGAATCCAGCAGAAGGTGGAAATTGAGAGACTAGTAGGGAAGTTAATAGGGAACAATGATTTTCTTCCTTTACTAAAAGAAAGAGCCATCTTAAACGTTTTACGAAGTTGTATGGGAGCACAGATTGTTGGCTTGCTACTTAAATCAGCATTTAACAGAAAAATAATCCAAACTTCCAGACTAAATGTATGTCTGCTGAACCTGTGTGATGGAGGGAAGTGCTAGGAGGAGGAGAGGTGTCCCCCCCATCCTTGTTTTGGCTCTGCTTCCCCATGGACACAGCCCCCTTTCCTCCTTCCCCACCTGGGCACGGCCCACAGGATGTGTGTCGGGAAGCGACTGGAGCACCTGGTACCTGCCCTGGTGGGACTGGTGGGACTGGTGCTGGGTCCTCTCCTGGCCTTGGCTTTATATGGTTTCATGGGCCTCTGTCCCGTGGCTTCCTGCTTGGAAACACAACGGGGTATGATCCTGCCCGACAGCGAGGCGGCTTCTTTCCTGCAGGAACACAGACCCTTCCTTCTGGTCCTTGCCTGTTTGAGAAGACAGTGATTGGCAGCTGAATTTACTAGTTTCTGCTTTGAGAAAGCAGAACTAAAGCAAAAACCAATGTTTGGTAATATTATAAAGCCTTTTGAGATGATAAAAGGGGTGAATTTTCACACCACTGATCCTGTGATGAGGAGGAGAGCACTTTGCTCCAGAGGAGGTTCATGATCAAACCCCCAGCTGATCCTGGGCAGGAGGGTGCAGAGCAGAGCCCCCCCCTGTACCCCCCACAGGTAAAATGGCATTCAGAGTGTGCTAAAGCCATTTCTCCTTCGGCATTCAGAGCCAGAGCCCTTCCCTGAAGGGAAGATGTGTGCTAAAAGAGCTTCTGCAGAGGCTCAGGCTATTAAAATACAACTTATCAATCATCTCTGGCCTCTATAATGTTCCTCATGACGTTTATAGCCGTGGAGTGGGGATCGCGGGGATTGTTTCGGTGCAATCCCTCCCTCTGTGAGAGGATACAGGGTATATTTTCTGCATGAAATTTTTCTAAGAAGTGCTGAGGCAAATGTTTTGCAAACCTGGAGCGATGATTACGGGCGGTTGATTTGTGAGGCTGAAGACATCTTAATAGTGTATTTATGAAAAATGCCAACATTTCGCTCCCCGCAGCCGTCCGTCCATCCATCGCGTGAGCCCCCAGCGGTGCCCGTGCTCCCCCCACACCTGCAGAGTGTCACCCCCCCCAAAGAGTTCACGTTCAGGCTCTGACAGTGATGGCAAACTGGGATTGCACAGAATCACAGACTGGTTTGGGCTGGAAGGGACCTTAAAGGTCATCCCATTCCACCCCCCTGCCCTGGGCAGGGACACCTCCCACCAGCCCAGGTTGCTCCAAGCCCCCTCCAACCTGCCCTTGAACCCCTCCAGGGATGGGGCAGCCACAGCTTCTCTGGCCAACCTGGGCCAGGCTCTCACCACCCTCACACCAAACAAGTTCTTCCCCACAGCTCAGCTCCATCTCCCCTCTTTCAGGGTCAAACCCTTCCCCCTCCTCCTAGGGCTCCCCTCCCTGATCCAGAGTCCCTCCCCAGCTTTCCTTCCGTTAACTCCAGTATCCACTCCCAGTCTCTCTGTGTGCAAAGTCATTTTTTCCTTTTAATAACTGTATGGGGTGACACAGAGGCTGTTATTTTTGCAAGAAGCCACGCTGGGTACCAAAGGATGACTTTTTTTTTTTAATAAGCTGACCCTGCTGGTGGGTGCAGGCTCTTGCATCACCACTTGGAGTAAAAAAAGGCTTTTGCAAACAAAGTCTGTGACGGGTAATTACAGGAAAGGTCACTTTGCCATCTTCCCCTTGGAGAGCAACGTGTGCTTCAGCCACAAGAGCTGCCTGTAAAAGAGGATGAGGGATTTACAACGTGTGCTTCAGCCACAAGAGCTGCCTGCAAATGACGATGAGGGATTTTTGGTCATTATTTCCAATGAGTAAGTGTCCTGTCACTGGGTCACTGTTCTCTACGGAGGCTGGAAATTTGGAAAACCCCCTGTCACCTCGTGTCATCGCCCCCCAGCTCCAAAGTCAGGCTTTTAAAGGTTTCTGCTGGGGTGAGTGGGCTTTCAGCAGTGGGTCTGTGGCAGAGACCAAACGTTGTCTGGGACGGGGCAGGTGGGCAAAGGCTTCTAACGGAGGGTGAGGGTTGAAGGGAGATCAAGAAATGAAAGAGGTCAGATGATGAAGTGCTTCCAGATCGTGCTCAGTCAGCCTGGGAGGGGATTTAGTATTTAAATTGGGTCTGACTGGAATTGGGTCTCCTGCACGTACCGTGGTGTGAAGGCTCGTGGTGGCCGTGGCAGCTCTGTCCCAGTGAGGGGGAGGGTTGTCACACACTAGTTGTGCAAGAGCTCCAGGAGTGCCCGTGATGCTCCTGCAGGTGTCTGCTGGTTGCACCGTGCTCCTGGGTCCCAAAATAAACAGATGGATGTTCCTGTGTCTCCTGCAGGTGCTGCGTGGAGGAGCCAGCCAGCGTCCTCTGACCCCCAACCAGAACCAGCAGGGCCAGCAGACGGACCCACTGGTGGCCGCCGCCGCCGTCAACTCAGCCCTGGCCTTCGGGCAGGGGCTGGCAGCGGGGATGCCAGGTAGGACTTGTGGGGACAACGAAGGGAATGACATCTCCTTTCTCTGCCTGCTGTCCCATCTGCCTGGCCTTCAGCAGGATTTGGGCTTTATAGTTTTTAGATTTTAATCCGGGGGTATTTGGGAGAGGCTGTTAGGTGTGAACCCCACCACCTGGGCGGCGTTTAAGCCAAATTAGAGTTTAGATCCCCGTGTCACAGATGAAAACAAATGTTATCAACTGTGTCACTGCACGGGGTGCTTAATTACTGGCGTACTCCAAAGAATAGATGGCTCCTGCTGGAAGTTGCTTTCAGATTTTCCTGTGGATCACACGGGCTTATGTTGTCTGTGCTTTGAAACCTCAGAGACCCCTTAGTCCCCTCCATTACCCGTGTCTCTCCATCCCTGCCAGGTGTTCGACTTCAACAGGAGAAGGGCTTCCCCTTCATAATTTCCTGCAGGCAAATCCTAGTGGCTTAAAAACAAAGAAAAGGCAGCAGAGAGAAGGAAACAGGTTTTTGTTGTAATTGATAATTCTGCAAGAGAGAGAATTCTGCTACTGTGTGACTCGTAGCTCTGGTGCGTGGGGCTGGGTGGTACAAGTGCTTCTGACATTCAGTTATACAGAATATTACTGTGATGGCAAAGGGCAAATGGCAAACTAAGCATTTCTTTGAATAATGTGCAAGTCCATCCCGCTGGTCAAATGGGAGAGAACAGGATTATTTCAGCTTCAGGTCTCCTGGCTGGAAATGTCACCTGGTTGTTACAGGGTTTTTTTTATGGTTTAAGAAGAACGTTGCTGCATTAAGTTACAAAGTGAACTGTAACATGCGTGTTTCCAAGTGACCTGCAGATTTCCTGAAGTCCCCATTATTGGGGGTTTGGGGGTTATATTTGCAAAGCAAATATTCACGGAGAACATTCTCTTTGTGACCCCACCAGGGAGAATCACCTTCTTCCTGAAAATGTGATGTAACTGTAGAATTCCATAGTGAGGAACCTAAAGAGGAAACTTGAGAAACTCCTCAGAAAAGAGAAACTACCGAAAACCTGGTGCTTTGTGTGTCACCAGCATATTTGATTTAAGAGTTTTTATTTATATATCTTAAAGAATACTTTAAAATACATTCCTTCACAAATACCTAACTTTTAGCTCCATGTGTTGTTTGCCTGTGTGTCCCCACTGAACACCCCAGCGTGCGGTGGCAGCGCTGGAAGTGCAGGCTGTTGTCAGACATGAAAAGTCCCAGCACACGTTCTGCTTAAGATGGAAAAGAAAGAGTGCTTTTAGGCCTTTTTAGATACAGAAAACAGAACTTTGTAGGTAAAGAAATAGACCTTTATAGACATAGAAGTAGACTTTTCAGCTGTATAAGTGAATTTACACAGAGGGCAGTGCTGGTAGAATAGGTTTGGGGGGGAAAAAAGGTCTTCTCTACCTCAAGGTCTTACCAGTATCAAGCTGTAGACTATTAATATCGATATTTTAATTATGTTTTTTTTTTTGCTTCGAGAGCAGCAGAGCTGCTGGCGCGTTTCTTTTTCTATTCAAATTTTCCTTTAAGAATGTTACTGCTCCTCTGAGGGTCCTTCCCTTACCCCTGCCCCTGTAACCTGCCTCTCCAGGGTACCCAGTGCTGGCTCCTGCTGCTTACTACGACCAAACCGGTGCTCTGGTGGTGAACGCGGGGGCCAGGAACGGCCTGGGGGCCCCCGTGCGCCTGGTCGCCCCCGCTCCCGTCATCATCAGCTCCTCCGCGGCACAGGCAGGTGAGTCCCAGTCCCCTCAGGTGACAAACCTGCTCTGTCCCCCCAGCAAAGATTTGGGGGGGGGACCTGGGGTGCCCTGGGCTGGCGATGAGGACACTCTTGCCCTCACTGAGATCCCTCGCGGGGGTCGTTGTGGAGAGCATCCTCTGTGCGCATCGTGGACTGAGCCTCCAGAGCAATCCCAGAGATGTAAAGTCACCAAACTCTTAAATACTTTGCAGAATTTCATGACAGTTATTTAAATGTGGCTGCTGACATCTAGTTTCCCACATAATAAAAGGCTTTAGCCTGTGTAGGACTCCCAAATGATCACCTCACATCAAATGTTACGTGCCTGGCCTCTGCCAGGAGTGATTGTGGGTTTTATTAGGGTTCTTTGGGAGTCCAAAGCTTGAAAAGGATTTTTTCAGCCAGAATCTGTGCGTGTAAGCAGTCCTTGCCAGCGTTAGGAACAGATTATGAAATAGGCCTTTTAATTGTTTCCTTGTAGTTCTTGGGTATTTGGCTTTTACTTTGGAACTGATTGGAAAACAAAAGCGCTGGGGTTTGATGTTGGCAGTGCCACAGGATGGTGGCTCGTGCGCTAAAGGACGATTTTGCTTATTTCAAAACTTGTGGTTCTTAATTGGATGGGGCTGAGTGTGTGGCTGCACGGACTGGGGGGTTGGATCTTCGGGGAACCATTTCTGTCTGTTTGATCTGTGTGGCTCTAATAACAGCAGCAGTGATAACAACAGGGCAGTGTCACTGCTCCGTGCCGCCGGGCAAGACCTGAGGAGCTCAGGTATAAAGTTTGATAGGAAAGGGAGATTTTTCTAGTGAAGTGAGGAAAAAAAGGTGGAGTAGATAAAAGTAACTTTCCAAAACTTTAATGAAAATGGATTTTTTTTCAGTCTGTCCTCCCAATTATTTTCTCCCCAGCGGTTGCAGCGGCTGCAGCTTCGGCCAACGGCGCGGCGGGCGGGCTGGCAGGAACGACGAACGGACCATTCCGCCCTTTAGGAACTCAGCAGCCCCAGCCCCAGCCCCAGCAGCAGCCCACCAACAACCTGGCCTCCAGCTCCTTCTACGGCAACAACTCTCTCAGCAGCAATTCCCAGAGCAGCTCCCTCTTCTCCCAGGGCTCTGCCCAACCGGCCAACACTTCCCTGGGCTTCGGGAGCAGCAGCTCCCTGGGTGCCACGCTGGGCTCTGCGCTGGGGGGGTTTGGGACAGCAGGTAAGAGCAGCAGCTTCTCCACGGGGAAAATCATGGAATGGTTTGGGTTGGAAAGGACCTTAAAGGTCATCTCATTCCAGCCCCCTGCCCTGGGCAGGGACACCTCCCACCACACCAGGTTGCTCCAAGCCCCCTCCAACCTGCCCTTGAACCCCTCCAGGGATGGGGCAGCCACAGCTTCTCGGGGCAACCTGGGCCAGGCTCTCACCACCCTCACACCAAACAAGTTCTTCCCCACATCTCAGTTCCATCTCCCCTCTTTCAGGGTCAAACCCTTCCCCCTTGTCCTGTGGCTCCCCTCCCTGATCCAGAGTCCCTCCCCATCTCTCCTGGAGCCCCTGGAGGGACTGGAAGGGGCTCCAAGGTCTCCCCGGAGCCTTTTCTTCTCCAGGCTGAACCCCCCCAACTCTCTCAGCCCCCCCTCCCAGCAGAGGGGCTCCAGCCCCCCCAGCATCTCCGGGGCCTCCTCTGGCCCCGCTCCACCAGCTCCATGTCCTTCTGCTGGTGGTGGCCCCAGAGCTGGAGGCAGCACTGGGGGTGTCTCCCCAGAGCGGGGCAGAGGGGCAGAATCCCCCCCTGGCCCTGCTGCCCACGGGGCTGGGGATGCAGCCCGGGGTGGGGGGGGTTCTGGGCTCCAGCGCACGTTGAGGGGCGTGTGGAGCTTCTCACCCCCCAACCCCCCCAAGGCCTTCTCCTCAGGGCTGCTCTCCCGCCATTCCCCCCCCTGGGCCTGGATTTGTGTTGGGGATTGTCCCAGGTGCAGGACCTTGCTCTGGGACCAACTGGCTCCTTGCTGGAGCTGGAGCTGGTGCTGAAGTTTTCCTTAAGGACTGCTTTGGCTTTCAAACCCTGCAGCACTTTCTGGTGAAACTTCTCAGATGATGTATTGGAAGTAGCAAAGTAATGAATTCGTGGTGCTCTCCACTCTGTCAGTTGTTCCCTCACTGCTACAGATTAAGTTTTTAAACAGCTTTGAATTTCCCTGCCTTTTCTTTCACGTGCTTGGTGGAGACACCGGACTGACAGGAATTGGCCCCACGGTGGTACCCATCTTGGTGCTAACTCTTAACCACAGAATAATGGTTAAGTAACTCTTTGTGATTTAAAAAAAACAAAACAAAAACAACAAAAAAACCAAAAGAAACCCCAACAAACTGATGTGAGGTGGTTTCCATGCTTTATTCTGGGAATTGTTCCTGTCATACACCCAAAAAAGTCACTTATTGCGGCGGCAAGAAATGCTACGTACATGGTTTGGATTGATTTGGTTTTTAGGCAGTTGGAGACAAAGATATTTTTTTCAGAATAAAACCAAACCAGAACGATATCTGTGGGTTGGCTTGTTTTGGTTTTTTTTCTTAGGTTTGTTTTTTTTGAAGTAGAACAACTTTTTTAATTACTGCTTAGTCTCCGAGGTAGTAATTAAGTCCTGAACTTCCCCGTTTTCGTCAGCACGAAGGGCAAGTTTAAACGTGTCCCTTGAAGCTGCTCCATCAGAAAACACAGAGGGACGT